AGTTAACCAAATGCCCCTGCTGCCAATATCTCCAGCTACTCTCTTGACAATTTCTGTAACATAGTCATGCACTGTCAGTACTAACATCTGAGGAACCATTAGGAGGACACTACAATAAACTGAATCTAACAGTAAAAGGACTAAAGCCTGTTAAGTCAATGGGAATCTTTTAATTCAATGGGCTTTGGATCAAACCCCAAATGAATAACACAAGGAATATTTTATTGATTAACTTATTCATTTTCATATTTAATTCAATAACACACCTAAAGCTCCTTCAGAATTTCCAGTCTGCTGCCCTAGGGTGCTCGGGAATTTTGCCACAAGAGAACATGACGCCTTGGAGATGACTAAGTATTGCAGTTCAAGACCATCTGGTCATACAAATAAATATATCTAACACCAAATAAAACTGCTCCATTGTCCAGGCCATTTTGTGTCTAGACCTTTGTTCTAAATTGGTTGCTGAATTTGTTCATGATATATATATATATATATATGATATATATATATCTCCTTAGCAGTGCTCATAATGAGAAGTCTACACAAATAACCTTTTAAAAGCTCAGTAACTCTTTCACATGCATCACTGGCAAATTGAAAGCCTGTGTTTGCAAGTATCACAAATAACAAGAGAACCTCACTCTCACTATCTAAAAATAAAACTATATAGCTAAAGAGCTCACTGAATAGTAAAACCTTTAAAATAAATGCCACTTCTTTTTCCACAGTGAATGGCTTTATCACAGTTTACAGTTAAATTCATTCCATTGAATTGCAAGATTTTGTTAAATTACAGACTCTTTAGAGGAACTAGCTATCTGGTTTTTCATATATTTTATCTATATACAATCCTCTCTTGAATTTTTCTGTTTCAGGGTTTTTTAAAGAGCCTTTTTGTTCTCCATTTATATCTGACTTTCTTCATCCAATATAAGATCCACAAATTAAAGATCTGTTTCCTTAGCCTTAGTAGCATACTGAACAATTTTTTTCAAAAGTGAATTTAGTGGGTCAGATCCTTGGTTGCCTTTTTTGCTGCTTTGACTCTCATCCAATTTTGAGGGCTTATGTGGGACTTAAATGTCAGGAATTATGCTCCTCCCTGCCATCTGCAGAGGGATGAATTTTATCCAGAGTGAATGGTGTGTTTTAAGAAATATCCCAGCCTTTAAGACGTTTCAGAGTTGTGTTTGATTTCTTTCATAATGTAAATTTTCTGAATCCAGATTTCCCAGCTTTTCTCACTATAAAGAAGTGTAAGTAAATATTTCCCTTTTTCAAATGCCCAATTTTCTCATGTTTTGCCAATTCCAGTTTAAGATTTCCTATGAAAACTCCTTGGACCTATTTTGGATTTTATTCAGATTGCTCCATGAGGGAGGAAAAGGGTGAGAGGAATGATTTTTTTTGGATTCTTGTCTTTCCAGTGTGCAGCTACATGATGTCATAACCATAAGAGCACCATACAGAGCTGATGAAAATGACTTGACTTTCTTCATTTCCTTTTGACATTTTGTGTTAATTAAATGAGAAACATGGGGTACTACTACTAATTTCTCCTGGGGGAATTCTGTGTCACTGCGCAAGTGTAGTTTAAATGAATTATTACTCAAAGTTCTATATTAATATGCCTAGTAAGGAATCTATTTGTCAAAAAACATTTTTTGTTGTCTTATTGTTACAGACATACTTGCTGACAGGTATTTTGAAGTAAATTACCAAAATAAGTGAAACTGGCATGATTATATTGTTATTTTGATAAATAAAATATACAGAATTTTAAAATATTGTACACAGAATTTTTAATTTTTTGGAACATAATTTTTAACTTTTTGATGCAGAATTCCCCCAGGAGTATACTAATAGGTGCTTCCCCCAAATACTTGTTATTAGGACATATCACCATGAAAATGAGATAAGAACAGTGTTGGAAACATAACATGGGAATATGTTTATTTTTAGAATATATATACATAACACCTACCAAACATGTCCCTAAAGTGCATGCAGTTATCAAGATGCACTGGGGTTTTAAAACTACTGATTTATTGTGCCTTATTTATGGAAATGTATGTACATTTATGCACAACTTGCATCCTATTTTACAGCTCTAAGATGTTGGAAGGCACGCTGACAAGCTGGCTGCTTGCTTTTTATTTGCACCATGTCCTCCCCATCTGCCTGTAATTTCTTTCCTCCCTCTGTGGTGCATGCTGTTGCCTGTGTTAATGCATCCTCCAGTTGTTTACACTCTTTGCTGAATATGCAATGTTGGGGTGGAACATATGGTGTAAATGTTTTGTACCTGGTCATGACTTTGTTTACAAAACCCACACCCTCTTTCTTTCCGGTATGCACACAATGAGCCTGGGATGTCTGCATCCATGCCTCACATGTGTTTCATCCAGTGGGAACTTATCTTTAAAGAGGGTTATGTGCTCTTTGCCTCACTGGAGACAAAAGTTACTACATTCTTAACTCTCTCCTGTGGTGAATAGTCAAGATCAGGCTTGTAGGCCCTGATTTTGTAACTTGGCTGCCTAAAGTCAGTGGGAGTTGTGGGTACCTATTACATATGTAAACTCTTATTTAGGTGCCAAAATGTAGATTTAAGTGGTTAACTTTTAGACACCGTACTTGAAACATTTTGGCCTCAATGTGCAAATTGAATTTTACAGTAAACATCTAATGTGAATTTATGAGAATTTAAATTGTGCTGTTTTAAGTACTGTGTAGATATTAATTTCACTGATTAATTATTACACCATTGCTGTTAGGCATATGGGAAAGAACTGAGAAAGAAAGGTGAAATGACCTCTGATAATGTGAGAGTTTGTCATCCCATTTCAAAAGTACTTCTATGTTAATGTACATTAGGGAACTTGTAGCGCACACCAGCAGGGCCACAAGAGCCAGCTAGTGCAGACTAAAACTTACACACTTCTGTTGTGCACTACTACTCTGTGTAGGCAAGCCCTACATTTACAGGGATCCCAGCAATGAGACATAATTGTCGCTGGGATGGGGACATATCAGCGAATGAATTAACAGAAATACTGCAAAGTCTGAGACAAGATAATGAAAAAAAAAAAATCTGCATCTGATTAAAGGAACCCCTCTCATCCCAGTCTCAGTAAGACAGAGAAGAATTGCCCTGCTTGATATTTGGCCAGGATACTCAGGTTAACATTTTGGTATTTTTAATGACCCTGAGCGGGCAGGGAGATTCATAGATTCACAGGTTTTAGGGCCAGAAGGAACCATGAGAACATTTATTTTAACCTCCTGTATAGCACATGCCATTATATTTCACCTTGTTACCCCAGTAACTATGTCTCTATTAATACCTATCATTAACTAGATCTCTATTCTATTATTATTTGTACTGAAGTAATACTTAAGACCTTTGATTGTAGATAAGGATGTTAGTCATAGACCAGTACCTCATTCTTCTGTGCCCTGTATAAACACATAACAAAACCAACTTTAATTGTGACATATCCTAACTTTGAGTACTTAACTTTGTAACCTGAATAATGTTCCTTAAATGTACACATGTGCAGTCCTGCTACACATAGAAGTTGAGAGCATATAGCACATGCTCAGTCACTCTGTGGAGCTAAACGGCCGCATAGTCTGGTTAGCACAAGCAGCTAGGAGGGGGTGGAACATGCTGAATGAGGATAGAATCTTCAGAGATTTTTGCTACTAAAATTAAAGAAGTCTCTACTGACCATGCACAAACTGCAATTGGGGCAGATTGTCATGGGGATGGCAAAAGGGATATCCTTGACACAAAGGCCACCTTCCTGCCAAATATCAAGTCCCTTTTCCAAAGCACAAGGGCACTACAGCTGTTAGAAGAAAAGGTCAACAGAATTTTTAAACATTGGCAAAGAACATATTTTCCCTTAGCCTCCTGCTTGGAAAGTGGCTGAACTATTTTTTTGCTGAAATTTTAAAAGAAATAGAATAAAAATTAAATGCCTAAATTAATCGGCCCGAGGTAGAAACCTATCATGTAAAATTTAAGATTAAAAGATGAAAGGCTGGCAAAGTGATAAGCCACTGAAAACAGGGTGTTGTGCAAATTTAACCATACTGCTACCAGCCCTGTCGACACCAGATGATAAACCAGATTCCCAGTGTTGGGGGAGTCGCTGGAGCTGGGAAAACTACAAAGAAGCGTCCAGGGGATTGTGTAGGCGGCAGCAGTGGGGAAAGGTACTGTGTCTATACGCACAGACCTCTCCCTGCGCGTAGACACTCCCCCACCAGCTTTCCCGCGGCGCTAAACCCACAGGTTCGGTGACTCTGGGAAGCAGCTCCTAATCTCGTGAGGCAGCTCACTCGCTCCTGCCCCGCCCCAACCAGAAGAGAAATCTCGCGAGAAGCTGCACGCCTCTCTTGGCTGCCCGTAGCCGCAAGGAGGCTGCCTGGAACGTACCCCGAGAGTGTGTCGCTGATGACGCTACAGAACGGAACTCAGCGAAGGGCGGGAGGGGAGGCAGCGTTCGCTGCTCCGAAGGGGCGCTGCAGCCGCGCGCGCGGGCGTTGGGGCGGGAGGGGAACCGTGCGCTGGCAGCGCGCAGCTGTCACCCCGTAGGCGGGGGTCATGCAGATAGTCCCTCGGCTCTTGAGTGGACCCACGTGCCTCTTCCCTGGCTGGCTGAGGCTGAGGCTGAGCAGCCGGCGTAGCGTGCAGCTGTGCAGCTTGCAGCAGGCTTTACTCCAGTCCTGGCACACAAAGCAGAACTGCACCCGCCCTCCCCGATTCTCGTCCTTCTGGGTTAGGCTGATGCCCAGCCTCTGCCGCGCGGAGGGATGGGTTGCTGTTTGAATGAGAAATTCACCCATCTCCCCGCTGCTTGTGCACAAAACGGGCCCGGCTCCCACGGTGGGAGCCCTGAAAAAAAAAACAAAACAAAAAGAGAGAGCGAGAGGGGCGGGAAGGGGAGGGGGGTGCCGCGGCCGCCCGCTGGTTTGAGCAAGCAGGCGGCCGCAGAGACTGTCTTCCGTGGGAGGCCGCGCGAGCGCCGCTTTCCCCCGCGTGTGCGCGGCCGCCGCTAGAGGGAGCTGTGCTACAGAGAGCGGGAGGGAGAAGGCAGAGGCGCTGCCGCAGGAGGCGAGAGACCCCCCCCCACACCCACCCCAGCTCTTTCTTCAACTCAGGCTGCCCCCCTCCTCCTCAGCTCTGCGCTGCCGCTGTCAGTAGCGGCGGCCGGACGAGCCGCGGAGCCCCCCCTACAGCCCGGCTGCCGTCCGGGCTAGCGCACAGCCCCGCCGCGGAGCAGAGGCGGCGGGGACCGGGCTGCTGCGGGGTTCCAGTGCTCCTCCTCCTCCTCCGTCCACCCACTCACCCACCCAGCTGTGTTAGTCGTCTTCACGGCTGGCTTTGCTGCCGCTCGCCTCCCCGCGGGTTTTGGTTTCCCTTTTGCCGTCAGTTTCCCCTTGGGCACTGACCGGTGGGGTGCCAATTTGAAGGAACCCACGAGCGGAGAGGGGGAGCAGCTGCGCGCGGCGGAAGAGCGGCAAGGTAGCTCGCGGGGAGGCGTGGAGATCCCCTCCCGACCAGCCCCATCAAACCATCCGGTAAGAAAGTAAAGAAGCCAGCGAGGGTGACAGCGACTCGCCGGGAGGCGGAGGAGGAGAAGCAGCGCGTCTTCTCTCCCGTCTCGCCTCCTTTCCGTCCCCGCTCTTCCCAGCCCCTCTCTTCCTCCGAGGTACCGGCAGGAGCAGCCTGGACTCATGATGGCTTCAACCCCTACCTGCACCAGGTTCACCGACGAGTACCAGCTCTTCGAGGAGCTTGGAAAGTAAGAGACCTGGCGGCCGCTGCACATTGTGCCGGGAAAGGGTCTTTCGGTTGGGGGCAGGGGAGGTGGTTTGACAGATCAAGGCTGGGCAAAGAGGGGGCTATTGTTTGGGTGTAAAATGAAGGGGGAGGGGGGTGTCAGGCCGGCTGTTGTCTCAGATCCTTTGCAAAGGAGACTTAGTGCATTGCTGATCTCTGCAGTTGGAGCTGTCATGGGGGAGGGAGGATTCAGCTCTATGCACGTATCTAGATAATAAATTCATATTTTTTCCAACACAGCTGCTTCTCTGTTTTGCATGGGTGACTGTTTTATACTTGATACAATTCGGTGCCACGTTTATTGATGGGGAAAGTTCAGCTGGGTATACAGTATAGTTTGCAACCAGCACTTTTAATCGGGAGGGAGGGCGACCCTGCGTGAATGTAGCTTGCCCCCTCCCCTGCCCTCCTCTTATTATTTATGAAAGATTGTTGTTTTCGATCTTAATGTCAGAGAAAGCTCTGCCCAGAGCAGAGTGTGCTTTTGTGTTTTTCATGTCCACGATCAGAAAAGCTGTGCGGTTTATTTAGACACTCGAAAATACACCCAGACGTTCATAGATCCATTGTTTACAAAGAAGCTGGCTGGCTGTGTATTGTTCAGACCTGAAATTAATTATTGCTCAGTCTCCAGTTTCTCTCTGATTTTTTTTTAAATTTGTGAATTCATTGCTGTGTCATTTCTTTATGTAAATGACTTGAAAAGGCTTGTGGGGATGCCATTTGGTATTAAAAACATGGAGAATATGTCGTGAACAGCTATCTAATTCAAATGCTCCTTTTCTGCAAGGAGTAGGAATGTCCCCGTGTAGCGCTGTATTCATTAAGATGTACTTCCTAGTCACACAAATGGGCTCAGTGTTTAAATTTAATTAAATACAATCGCCATGTTGACAGAGCTGGAGGTGAAATTTTTACACAGAGTTTGTTTCGTTTTTCACACTTTTTTGCTGCCTGTAAGGTAGTCACAGAGCATTTGAGGCTTTTGAGGCAGGGAACTGTAAAAATGTTCACATTTCCGGTGTGTAAATACCATTGCTTATAATTTGCTGTGTACATATATTTAAACTGTTTAATGATATGACTTGTGCTCACTTGTATTTTAAATCCAATGTACTGTTATCATCTATAAAATGAGTAATGATTGCCATTTTGTGCTCATTTTCCTGTCTCCTGTATTGACATTATGCGTTTCAATCAAATCAGTTAAAAAACTCAAATTATTAGAACCATTATCCAGTATTACAACCCTTGTATTGATGTTTGTCTGGTTATTGGTTTTCAGGGGGGCGTTCTCAGTGGTGAGAAGATGTGTGAAAATTCCTACAGGACAGGAGTATGCTGCCAAAATTATCAACACCAAAAAGCTGTCTGCTAGAGGTGGGTATTTTTCAACCCAATATTTTCAGTGTCTCTCTCTCGATTCCTCTACCCTCTTCTTTTTTCTTGTTTAAAATAGTACTATATATAAGCTTTTGTACACTGAGTAGATATTTTATTTTTTCTCCGTATATTTTCCATTTTCCTAAAATACTGGTTAGATTTTCCATGTTGTAAAGTAATCTTTCACTGACCGACAGTGCTTAGATATGAGATTACTGCTCTACCGTGCTAAAAGGAAAGATGTACAAATTCTAGAGCATTTTTTTAAAGATGCAAATCTGCTTTTCAGCTTTGTGTGTGAGAGAGTTAGAATAACAGCCTGGAATGTCATTTTCTTTTATTATTTTTTGAGAAAATGCTCTCTCACTCTAATTTTTATGAAGAAAAATTTGCTCAAATCTTAATTGAATAACATTCTTCCATTATATTTAAATATCAACATAATTAATCAAGCCATATTTAACAGTGAACACCTTTAGAAAAAAATCTGATCTGCTGCACATACAGTTTTTCAAATGAAAATGTAGTGTAATAGGGTAGACATTTTATAAAGTAACTATTTGTGTACCAAGTAGTGATGTTTAAGTGAAGCATTTGTACTGTTATTTCTATCATGCACACATTTTCTTTTCCTTTTATTTGTATTTTCCTTATGTGGTATATATCTGAGTATGTATTTTACAGCTGTTTGTATCTATATCTAGATATTCACTGGTTGTGTGTTTACACTACATTAAAGAAACTATATATTTACTGTGTGTTAGGACTGCTGAAAATAGGCCTTATACTTATTGTTTGGTAAATCCACACTAACATGCTTGTACGAGGATGTTAGGGATTAAGGATTATTCTCTGTTGACATTATCTTTACTTTCATGTGAATTTATGGTATTGTGATGAGCATGGAAATGAGTAAACAGTGTCAGTGTGTAAACCTGCCTTTGTGGCTTGGTTTATGTTTTATACAAGGGGAGCATTGTATATAAACAGCACTCTGATTTCATTAATTCATTTAATAAATATATAAAAGAATACTTCTAATATATGGTGGCATAGCTGTAACTTTTCATGCTGCTCTAACAGCTGGAGATCATTCAACATTTTGCGTTATATAACCTTATTTTCAGCTCAGTAACAGGATTGTAAAAGTTTACTTTTCACTGCCTCTTGTCTTCAGACTCTTAATGTATGAGAGTTATTTTTTTCCTTTTTAGTTTTATAAAACCATATTTCTAATGAGTCTGTTCATTTTTAGGATTTGGCTTATTTTTTTAATGGAGGGGTGAGGAAAGTAAATAAAATGGAAGTTTGTGATTTGAGAACTTTTTCTTACTTAAAAATACATTTTGATTTTCAGTTATTTTTTCTATATCAGTTGAAAATGTTGATCTGTTAGTTTGGATATTTAAAAGAAAATTAGCCAAAATATTGACATTTAAAACAGATAAATATTTAAAAAATTAAGTCCCTCTTGACACGAGAGACTGTAATGGAATCAACACTGGATTGTTAATGAATTATGGTTTGAATGTATCACATATATATTACGATTTTAAATATATGTGTTACAGTGAAGAAACTATAACATTTATTAAAGTAAATTTTAAGAGTCTGCCTTAAACTCCTAAAAGCAGCACAGGACGCAGTAAATGCTTCTACTTTGCACTTTTCTTACACAGTTTTATCTAGACATTGCAGCACATACATGACCAAATTCATCTTTGGTGTAGTCTTTTAATTTGTGGAATTTCACCAAAGAAATTGAGAACGCAGTATGCAGTATAACATCATGCACAGATCTCGGATTTCTGCATTCATGGTACCCAAGAATTCAACTCGGAGTTCCCTTACTTTTGTGGATTTAAACTTTAAACCTGAATAATAGATTGTGGGCGTGTCATTTTCCTTACATACACATGTGTGTATACATGATATGTTGTCAGTGGATTTAAGTGAATATTATAGGGGTAGGGAATACTAACTGTCCAGCTCTGCCTGTACAAATTTGCACAAATAGTTTGGTCATGATCAGGCAACTTTCACAGAGCTAGTTTTTACAGAACTCTTCAAAAATTGCTAGTAGGAAGTTTTGCTTTCTTTTCTATTGCAGTTATATGGTCCATATAGTGAGGGTATTAACATACATAAGAAATTGTTTTGTATTGAGTGTGTATGTATGTGTATATCTACACATACACACATTATACATATAATTACATAGACTCAGTGTACTGAGGTATTTTGTCAGGTAAATAGCTCCAGATATGAAACAGTAATCAATAAGCATGCATCAGGTTAGAAAAAATGTACTTATGACCCTAACCATTTGTAGTTTATTTAAAAGCATGCTTCCAATTTCTCTGTCTTCAGATATTTCTTACGATATAGGAGCTATATGTTATATAGCATCAAACTGTGATACATTTTCATTTGGATAACTGATAATGGGTTTACAGATTGTAGGTTAGATAGTATTTGAAATCACACCATTATTTTAATTCTTTCACATCTTGACATGTTTTTCATTGTGAGATGGAGCCATTGACTTTCATGGGTTCATACGATAATTCACCGGTGTATTAAATCATACAGAATATGCTATTGTTGTAATTCTAATGGACAGTTCATAAAGTGAACTTCATCCCAGTGCACGGGGTACATACAAGGTACTCTGTGCTGAGGTGAATTTCATGTATGGTGACTGGCTCTCTTTGGTGTAGCTCACTAAATTCACATAGTGTTCAGTAAGACTTTTGCTTGAAATATTGAAGAGGTATTTTAACAAATGATATGGAATAATCAAAACTTTGATTATATTTTACTAAGTTTATTTCAAACAGTATTAATATTCTTAGTTCTGGGTTTCAGTTAGTGTTGCCTAGTCAAACAGCTCTTTCCCATGTATGTTTTCTTTGAGTATATTTGAACACTTAGGTTCATAGTCCTCCCAATGTGAAATATTGATCTGGTCATACAAAGCTGTCTGGATTTGCACTTTCTTCATAGTTTCCCTGCATGATTAAATCTTTACAAAGGAGTTTCAAAACACTGTTGTGTTTAAAGTGCTGCATGTTCTTTTTCATTTGTTTGTTTGTTTTTGGGGGTCTTCTGCACAACACTTTGCATTTCTACTGCTCTCATTTTCAAAACTAAGTTTGTGTTTTAAATTGATGACAAATTTCATATATTTGGAATGTGGTCACATACCTAACTAATCCAAATTACAATAGGAAAAAGTACTATTGTTTAAAGTTAGATTTTTTTTTTAAATAAAGAAGTTGATTTTAAATGCATGGTTTTCTATAATATTGATAACAGGTAGGTAGAAATGTCATCAGTTCCATGGTTGATTTGTTGTTCTTAAACAATAATAGAAGTATAGCCTTTCATTGTAGAGATGCCTTTTATGAACAATTTTTGTGTTAGTTAACTAACATTTCTGTAGGAGCATATAGAAGTTCCTCTTTTCATTTAAAAATAATGTCACGCTTCATATACAAATTGTGGTTTTTGTAAGTTATTAAACTTTAATGAAGAATGAAGAGATAATTAATTCAGATTGGTATTGTTAGAAAATAAACAGTTGGTCATTTGTATCAGAAGAACACGTTCTTAATAAACTAGGAGCATGAACATACTGCAGGAAAGTAGAGCCCTGAAAGAAAGTGGAAGAGTTGGCAAGTGTATGGAAAAGTAATAGCATAAAGCAATATATCTGTGCTGCTTTTACATTGTACTAGGCTTAATCTTATATATATTCTGTTACTTTTTATTAAGCCTTGGTTTTGTTATTTGCAGAGGCTGTCCTATTTATGGGTATATAGTTAGGAAGAATAAAGTTTGCTATTCTAAAATATTATTTTATTCAGCCTTGACCTATTATGCATCAAACTTTAAAAAAAAAAAAAAGAAGACAAAACTTAATAGCGTTTATTTTTATCTTTCAACCTCTTCTTTTTTTCTTTTTTGAAAGAATTGTGGCTTTAACCCTACCATGAGCTCTGTGTGGATGGATCTTCTGCCTATGCAGATCCCATTGCAGGATCGAGGTCTTAATCTTCAGTTACAGTGTATGTGTTTCACTGACAATAAGAAAATATGAAAGATTTTTGCAACCATTGTACTTTTGACATATTCTCTCTAATTGGATTGAAAAGGAACAGAAATCGGTGTGCTCAGCAGATAGTTCATTATATGCAGTCATTTAACTCATCTGAACTTGCACCAGATCTGTAGTGACTAAAAGTACTTGCCTTCTGATGATCACTCGATGGTACTGTCCAGTTCCTAGTGTGCCTTTGTCCATGTTGCCAAAAAATACCCCACCCAACCCTTTGGTCATTGCAGCAGAAAGGTGAGCAACTATCTGTGGCAAGTATACATATTTGTAGGGCAGATACAGGAACCCATAGGAGTTATCCATTCCAGTCTTTCCATACCCGTCACCTGATCCAAAGTCCACTGACATCAGTGAGAGACTTGCAATTAGTTTCATAGGGCTTTGGGTGGGATCCTTGGAGGTTTCTGCTGGTTACTTATTGTCTTCTCATTTGGCTTCCTCTCCACTCTTAGTATCTCTCTATTTTATGAAAGAGAGAAGTGCTTCACTGATATTTCCTGTACTGTATTCACTGAAGGGTCCCCATGTGCAAGGCAATGTCACAGGTGACCACACCAATTGCAGATTCTTTCAACTACCTGTGATTTCCATGGAGACTGAAGAGGCACTCTCACCCTTTTGGAACAATATTTTGTTCGGAGACTCTGAGGAATTTTGCTGTGTGGCTAGGGTATTTCCATCTATAAATCTATCCATGTGGAACATTTCATGAACCATAAAGTTGTTTAAAATACTGTAGGGAGATAAATGGAAATGTGAACCATATAAGATGGTATTTTTCAGCATATTTTTTTATGGCAAAGAGAGAAAAATTACCATGCCACTACAGACTAGTGGTCCGTTTAGTCACGGTGCCATAGGACTCTTTGCCGCTTTT